CTCCCACTCCCCTGCTTCCCTAGCCCTGGCCACCTAGTGGGCCTTCTCTCTCTGCTCTGAAATCTTCCAGATGCCTCTGGCTGTTCTCTCATAATCATATCATGGAGTGGTCATGTCAGCAGTTTCCTTACTGCCCGCACCCCACCCCACCCCACCCCCCTACCCCCCCCCACCCCCGCGCGCGCTCCAAAGACAGCCATATTGGTTCCAGACACTGGCAAGCACCTGTAACTATCGAGCCATCTTACTAACCCCAAAATATATATCTTTGAGACAAAGTCTTCCTATGTGCACAGTAACTAACTTGTTAAATTCACTTAATACTTAGCCGATTTCCTTTAAAAATAAATTTCCATTAGATTTTTTAATAGATAATCCTGCTATCTGCCAGTAAGTCTTCTTGCTGTCCAATCTCTATGGTTTTTATTTAGATCTCTTGTGCAGTGGCTAGGACTTCCAGTAAAACACTGAACAGGAACAGTGAAAGTGAATATACTTTCTGATTTTTGGGAGAAAGTTTTCAGTTTCTTTCATCAGTATGATGTTAACATCAGCATGATGTTAAGTTTTTGGTTTTATTACTTTTAAATTTTATGTGTAAGGGTATTTTGCCCGTACATATATCTGTGCACCATATGTATGCCTGGTACCCTGGGACTGGAATTATAGCTGGTTGTTGAGTAACCACATGGGTGCTGAGAATCAAACCCAAGTTCTCTGAGAGCAGCCAGTGCTCTTAACCATTGAGCCCCCTATCCAGCCTTCATTTTGCTATTTTTTATCCATTCATGGTCTAGAAATAAAATGTCTTAACTGGATAAAGGTCAGTCATCAAAAACCTATAGTAACTTAAACTATGTTTAATGGTGAAAATTAGAAACAATTCCTTCTAAATAGAGGTTCGGTTAAGCAGGGCCAGGGACAGTGCTTACCATGCAAGCCCTTGAATCTGGGCCTCTAGCACCTAATATAAGCCAGGCATGGTGGACCACATCTGGAGTCCAAGCATGAGGTTGGGTGCAAGGGAGGAGGGCAGAGACAAGAGAACCCCTGAAGCTGCAATGGAGGGGAGCCAGTGAGCTAATCAGTGAGCTCCAGATTTAGTGAGAGTCCCTGTCTCAAAAAAGAAAATGATAGAGAGCCGGGTGACACACGCCTTTAATCCCAGCACTCGGGAGGCACAGTCAGATGGATCTCTGTGAGTTTGAGGCCAGCCTGGTCTACCAAGTGAATTCCAGGAAAGGCACAAAGCTACACAGAAAAACCCTGTCTCAAAACAAAAAATTAAAAATTAAAAAATAGAGGAAGACACTCAATGTTGACCTCTGACCCCCAAATGCATGTACACAAGTGCCTGGGCACCTACATACACAACTTTTCTTAAATTAAAGATCCGGTCATAGGGAACTAAAAACAACTCCATACCCACTGTCTCTGAACCCTTGCTTGTGTAGGCTAAGGGCCACACATGGAAGTTTGAGCTAGTCTCGTGGTGCGATTCCTTTGTCTAGTGGAGCTTCAGAGCTTTCAGGTGTTACACCTATTTTTACAAGTACACAATCTCCAACATCAATTTAAAAACTGGAATGGTTTTTAAATCCTATTCATTTGGTTGAGTGAAAAGGCCCAATTAAAAGAACGCCTATCAAATGATTCTATTTATATAAAAATCCTAGCAGATTGGTATTAATGGTTGCTTGGGGACTAAAGTGGGGACTAAAGTGGTGAAATATGAGGAAGCTGTAGGCAGGGAAAAGAGGGAGAAAGTATAAAATAATTTGGTTATCCTGATGGTGACAACGATCTCACAGATACACTTACCAAACTGTGTGCTTTAAATACCTCAGTCACATCCAGTATTTTTAACAACATCTATTTCCTTGTGATGAGAAAGGACACACCTTCACTACTGTATGTCTGGATGCATTTCAACACGATGTTGTACATACACGCTCCACAAGAACAGGAGCTATCCACTTTTGTTGGAAAACTTTCAGTTCATCAAATTCTCTAGGGAAAAAAATCTAGTCGTTTTACTTTTCTTAAAAGAACTTCAGGTTTAGTTCGATTCCCAGCACTGACATCAGGCAGTTCACAAACTGCCTATAACTCCAGGTGATCTGATACCTCTCAGACCTCCTCCTGCGCGCGCGCGCGCACACACACACACACACACACACACACACACACACACACACACACACACTTTGGGTCATGGAAGTAGACCAGGGGGTAAAAGGGCTTGCTGCACAAGCCTGACAACCTGAGTTCAATCCTTAGATCCCACATAAAGGTGAAAGAACTCCACAAAGTTGTCCTCTGATCTCCACATGTGCTGTAGCACACCACTCCCCTTCATCACACACACACACACACACACACACACTAGTTAAGCAGCCCTTTCCCCACGGAGAGTAAAAGCTGACACACTAGCGAATACACAGCATGTCCTGCTTTCAGTGGTATCTTCGAATGGAACACTGGACCTATCCTTTAAAACATGGTTCTGAGCGAGGCAGTGCGAATCAATGGTTTTGGAGACAATGAAAATTGAGTTCTGTCCTGATTAGCCAATAGTGGGGCAACTTAAGTTTTTGATAATTTTTATACCTCAAAACAAAGTCCAGGAAATAACTGAAATGTAAGTAATGGCATGTGTAAGGCTATTTCTTAACTTTTTCAATTATATGACAATGAAAAATAAAATCTCTTTATCCTCTCTTTAGGATAGATTTTAAAGTGCATCTATCTTATTTCAGGAAACTTTAAAGGGATGCAAGATAATTTTTAAAAAAGGGTTGGGGCATGGAAAGCCAGAGTAAAATGCGGTAGAAATTAGAACACAAGAAGAATGCAGACAATATTAAGCATACCTGTCTTGAGGTGGCTTATAGAGTGTAAGTTCTAGAATTGGGAATTCTCAAGTTCAGAATTCAAGGAACAAGTAGAAAAAGCTGAGGAGAGCTGAGGAGAGCAGGTGATGCAGAACTCTGGAGAATGGGATGGCCAGCAACAGGGAAGGCCCATGACACTGGAAAACTCAGATTTTTCCTGGCAATCAATGTAGGTGCAGTTTTCTCCAGCAACACTAGACAACCAAAGATACAGAAGTCTCTGAAGGAAATGCAGAAAGTGACCAGGGACTGGACAAACCGCAGCTGGAGAAGGCTGCTCTACCAATCAGTTTCTGATGATGAAAAGGAAAAAATCCATTTCTGCAAGGAAAATTGTCACAATTCTTATCTCTATAAAAACAAACCATACCAAGTGAGTTCCAGGAGAGGCGCAAAGCTACACAGAGAAACCCTGTCTCGAAAAACCAAAAAAAAAAAAAAAAAAAACCCAAACCAAAAAAGCTTTTCATTTATGTCTCCCTTTAATCTTGTTCATAAGAAAGGAATTCACACATTTGTCTCAGGCACTGTGTTGGTGCCTCTGCAGTCTCCTGGCTCCTCCAAATGGTTTTATTAACTCCTGTTGTCTGTGACCATTTCCTTAGCACCAGTGTATGTTAACCACGTCGTTTACTAATCTACCAGATTGTTAACCAAGTCAACATCTTTCTGATCAGGTTTTCTCATTTCTTTTGGGTGAGACATTGTCTTTTTTTAAGGTTTCATTAACAAGAAGAGAAATGAATCCAAGAATTGTTCCATCCATTCGAATTCAAATTTAATGGGTCTTACATGACCCACCTTCCACCCCATTGTCACTGCCACACTCCAGCCTCCTCTCCCCTTTCAAAGCTGAGGCTTTGAACTTCTGCTTGACCTTGTGACCAGTTCAGCAGAGCATCTCTGACACCACCCCTGTTCTGCAGTGACCTTGGATGTCTTCTCTATCAGCTCTTGTTTCTAACTACCAAAAAAGGTTGGCCAGTATTTGCTTTCCTCTCACTGCACACCACATCAAGTAAACAAAGGGATCCTAATTGGTCTTCCGCCTGCATTTGGGAGCTTCTCACTTAGGTGCTTACAACTCACGGCATGCCTGCTATGTGCCAAGAATGCATGCTAAGGCTGTGTCTTCCCTCCTCCAGGAAGAGATGAATACCAAGCACACACATGACTGTGTGCAACTGGGAGGGAAAGTTAGAATTAGCCAAATCCAAAATCTCACCTAAAATACTGACAGTTTAACTCAGTCCTTGATTTTTTCCAGTCCCAAAGACCTGCTGATAACAAGGGACCCACTGCGATCTTTATTTAGCATATGTGTTCTTGTGAAGATAGCACTGTGTTAAAAGAATGTATTCATTGATTTCTAAATAGTTTGCACAAAGGCCCAAGAGGCAGCTTCCCCAACCCTTAAGGCCATGGTTTGGGAGACCCACTCCCTCACACAGGAATGTCACTCTGTCCTTCCATGCTTTTATTGATATCAGCAGTGGACAAAAATACCCCAACCCAACAGCTAGGGTATCAGGCAGACCCTTCAGGGCCATTGGCACCTCTAGATCCTGTCTACCCAGGCCATGTCCCTGAATGGGCATGTCCCCGTCTGTCCTGTTTATATGTGTGGATCAGTCTGTCTGAGTGCCTGAGTCTCTGCCTACATGCCCCCCCAATCCTTGGTATATGGTAGGGGTTGTTGGGAACATAACGTGGCTTGCCCCGGTGGACCACAGGGCCCCGGTGTTGACCATGGGAGACAGGGCCAGAGACTGACGGTGGCAGGGGGCCAGGCACAAAGTTCACTCCAGGGCCACATCCTACAAAAGAACCAGTCATCATCAGAGTAAGTTTCTGACCAGATAGCTCTGCTCCTCTGGGGTAAGTTTCTCTGTGCTTTCATTTCCCATCTGCAGAATGGAGATTCTACTTCCCTTACCCCAGACCAAAAACTGTGAGCAGATTAATAAGTTTACCGATGCTGTTCCAATCTGAGGGACTAATGTGACTAAACCCAACTCCCAAGCTCATGTGAACACAGGTGGCTAGGTTGGAGAATGTGCACAGGAGGCTGGGGAAGGTGTGAGCAGAGGCTACAGAGGCACCTACCTAAGTTAGGTGACACCGAGAAGTCCTCCATTGCATTGTGTTTGAAGAATTCATAGCGTCGAAAGGGCTGGCCTTGGGAAAAGGGGGCATCCTGGTGCAGGGGTGGGAACAAGGGAGGTGGTGAGGGCTGAAGACGTGGATAAGGAAAAGACATGGGACGAGGCAAATGGAAAGGTGGGAGGAGGGGCAAGGCCAGCTTCTCCCTGAAGTCTGGGGGCTGCTTATGGCTTCCCTGGGATGGATGATCCATCTCTGGCCAGTCCTCAATCCATGTGTCTAGGAATGGAATGATTGTGTTAAGTAGGCCTGGGAAGTCAGGCTGCCCCAAATGCTAGCTATCTGCACTTCCAGAGCTCTACCACACCCTCTTGGAGAATAAGGCCAGCAGCCCTCCTCATTCCCCTTCACTTCAAGCCAAGACCCAGTTGTGTTCCTTTTTTCTTGCTGCTCGTGATTGCCTGTGTTCTGAGTTCATGCCTGCTCCTGCCCAGTGCCTGTACCTTTAGCTTTTTCTTCTTCCCGAGTCCTCACAGGCCAATAAATTAGTCAAATATGAAGATCTAGCTCCCCCTCCCAACTAGTCTTCATCTGCTTCTAAACCCTCACAGGGAGTATTCTACCCTGTGTTTTATCCTTCATCAACTGTGTATTGCCTCTTTTGAACACTTCATGCCTTCGATGTTTTTCCTACTAAATGGAACAGCCTGACAAACCTACCAAACCTCTTCTTTCCAACAGTCCGGTCACATGACATCAACAATACACCCTGTCCTGAAAGTACCTCTCTATTCTCAACTACTTTTGTTTCCCCATCAATCTGCTCTCTGCCAATCCGAGGTGTGAGCACTGATCTGCTGTCTCCTTCCTAGTTTACACTCATATACCTCTGCTGGGTACGGATGACTCCACGTCTCTCCACAACATGTCAAACAGATCTGCCCTAATCAAACTCACTCGCTCATCTCCCCACTTCAAATCAAGTCTTTCTTTTAACAACCTTAATTTCCTTTTCACCCCTTGAGACAAGGTCTCATATCTTCCAGGCTGGCCTTAAACTCACTTCGTAGCTAAGGATGAGCTTGAACTTCTGAATCTCCTGCTTCCTTTTCCCAAGTGCTAAAATGACAAGCAGGCACCACCATGCCTGGCTGTATATGGTGCTAGAGATTGAACCCAGGGCTTCATGCATGCTATCAACTTCCAGCACTCTACTAACTGAGCCACATTTCCAGCTGTTTCCATAGTTCTTAGATGGAATCAAAAGCTGTGAAGCACCACAAACCAGTCTTTCAACCTTTAAAACATTCCTTTATTTACTGAGGACCGATTCTCTCATTAAGCAAAACAAAGGAAATGGAACCAGTACATAATCCACCCAAATTCATCCTAAAGTCCCAGCTCCTGGCTTCTAGGCCCTAGTGGTCTGCCTCTATTCCTTGCCTTTCGAGGTCCCCCACAGCTTCTATTGCTGCAACAGCATCTAAGATGACTCATGCCTCCAATTCGACAAACACTGTACTCTTGGCACTGAAATACAGCACATCTGTCTTGGCACTGGGCTGGAGGGGATGAACTATCAACAAGTGACCTGATGCAGGGGAGAAGCAGATGTAGAAATAAGCTCCGATGTTTTCTTTGCAAGCAGCCAGGGACTGAGAGACTAACGAGCAAACAAAAGATTTGTAGCAGAGAACATTTCAGCAGGAATGCAATTCGAGTAGTGTCCCCAGAACAAGCTAAAGGAGTGGCACTCTCAGCCCCCACACAGTTTGACTAGAACTGGGCCAGTGGAGGACTACACTAGGCTGGATCCAGTGAGACTGGGAGCCTAAGGCAGAGTTGAGGAGCCCACGAGCTGCTGTCTACTAACCTATCACCCTGAGCCCGACTTGCAGAGACACTGGAGGTTACATCATCTCGCTCAACAACCTGCTAGCTGGCTGAACCTTTCACTTCTCCAGCTGATAAGCTTTCTTGCCTCTGCGACACTGCTTCCACTGCTCTTCTTCCATATCTGTCGTCCCACTTCCTATACCTGAGACTACCTAGAAGTATTCTCATTTCTCTCCCATTCCTCTATTGAGTAGGGGCTGCCTTTTGCAATCAGTACTTGAACACTTCCATTCAAGTGTGCAGAAGGAAGCATAAAGCTGAAGAACTGGGAGTCGGGCAGGCATGTGACTCCTGTGATCCACCCATTTCCAGGAAGTGAAAAAGGAACACTCAGGAGCCACAACTGGTTTTCAAGCGATCATCTACTTTCTACCTCTGTTGCATTTGGTTCTTTGTGCCTTGTGTGCTAAAGGTCCTCTCTACATCACTACCCACCCACTCTGTGGCAGGTCTTACCTGGGAGAGGGTCATGTTTGGGTAGCTCCACACCCCAGGCATCAGCCACATGGCTCAGAAGTAAGTGTGAGAGGTGGCGGTGTGCGTGCTGGTCCCAGTGGACACCATCTCGATGACGATGATGTACAGCATGCCGGAAATGAAAGTGGAGATCTAGGACGTCGAAACAGTGGTTCCCAGCTAGTGTAGCACTGTAGAAGTTCCCCTCAACAACATCCTGTCGCAGAGAGACTGCCAGGGGCTGCAGCTAATTAAGAAAGTGGAGCCTCTAAGATGGTGTCCTATCTACCAGCCAGCCACTCTATCCCCTGTCCAGAAGGGCCCCAGTCACTCACCTCTGGCAGGAGGAAACCCCCAGTGACACGTTCCCCCAAAGGCATTGCCATGTTCCACACCAGGAGACAAGAGTCTGGCAAAACCTGGTCCATTCGTACAAACACTCGTTCCAAGTTCTGTCTGTAGCTCTCCATTGGGCAGCGGCCATATCTGTTGGGTAACACTTAGGGTGGGCATGGGCACAGGAATGGTGCCATACCTCCACCTCCAACCAGTACCTCCCTTTCCCCAGCCTGAACCTGGAGAGATCCCAGAGGCAGGAGTTGATGATCACGAGGTCAGGGGCAGGTCCATATGACAGCTCCTCCAAGACGTCCTCAAGGTACTCGGAGTAAACACGGGTGAGGAAGTAGAAGCGCACAAGGTGGTGGCCAGAGCCAGAGCAGAACTGGCGGACCTCTCGGTACTGTGTCCCATTGTGCAGCTCGCCCAGCTGGCCCCCGGCCACCAGCTGATCCTGTTCAAAGCTCAGCTCCCCCTACCCACCCACCCCCACCCCGATGGTCAGATCCATGCCAGGCAGGTGGTCTTTTTCAGGCCAGGGTCTGCACCCACCCAACACTGGCATGACTGCCAAGCTTCTCTCACCTTGGCTTTTAACTGGGAAGCTGTGAGCAGTGTGTCTTTCTGGAGCAGAAGCACCAGGTCCTTATACACAGCTCTCTGGACTGCAGGGAGACAGGGGTCCTAAGGTTAAAGCAGGCCTCACTCTGTCTCAGAGCCTCTCCAATGAAGGCCTTTTGTCTCCCAGGGTTTGGCTGCCCAATAGCAGCTCTATGGAGGGTTGACTTCGAGAAGAAAAGATGAGCTTTAAAAACCCAGGCTGGGTTCTTTCTAGTCATATGCCTCTCCTCTAACTTATGTATAGTGACCCAAGACCAACTGGCACATTTAAGTTGGCCCCGTCACCAGGGAAACACACAACATAACCCACAGTTCCTTTTAAAAAAAAATCATGGATGGTTACAAGAGACAAAGATGCTACAAGCATGGGCTAAAATGGTCGACAAATGATATGCCAGGACACCCGTGGAAGGTATGTAGGGGAAAAAAAAAAGACAGTTTAGTGTTCTAAGACAGAGTAAGAGATGGAGAAGAAAACTGAAATGGAGATACGGGGTGCAGACATAAAGAAAAGGCTGCAGATATAGGGCTGTGAAATGGCACCCTAGCGTGGTCACTCACTGGAGTCCCCCAAAATGACCACGAACTTGTTGTGCAGCAGCTGCTGGACTTCGGAGGCTTGGAAGTGGACCACGGTGCTTCGCAGCAGGCGGTGTGGCATCTCGTTTTCCAAACAGAAGACCATGCTGCCACTGACACCGGCTGCAGGGAGAGGCCACTATGCTGACAGAGAGCAGGGACTCAAGGTAGATCAGTCTGTCCCAAGATGACAGATGCGCGCAGGCCCCTCCCTGGCTGCTCTGAGTAATAGGGAGGAGAGTGGGGCCGCAAGGCGCATCCCGTGATAGCACCAGCCTTCATCACACTTGGAGGGAAGGCGGAGGGTCGCTTGGGCCGAGGGCCTATACTATGGCGCTTCGCGCGCGCAGCGACTCCCTTGCTCCCAGCCACGTGTCAGCGGAGGCCCCGCGTGTGCGCACACGTCCGCTTGCGCCAGTTACCAGTCTCCGGGCTCCAGGGATTCACCAGCCAGTAGGGCAGGCCCAGGTGCCGGGCGCCTTGCCCACAGCGGGCTCCTGATCTAGAGTCATGTTCCCGCGCCCCTGGAGGGCGGTAGGTTCTGCAAAGACCCCGCCCCACAGAGCCCGGGTGCCCAGGTTAGCTGTCGGTGCGCAGCTCGACGCCCAGTGCTCTCCATGCGTGCGTCGCGGTGGTCCAGCCAGCGACTCCAGCATCTGAGCTCCAGGAGGAGATGCTCATGGCTCCCACTTCCGGTCACTCATGTCCCTCCCTGCGCGACCCCCAACGTCGGAAGGGTCAGAAAGACAGCGAGGTTGGCCGCGGTGAAGGATAGGAATAAGTGTTAGGCCCACCCGGGCGGGCGCGAAGCCCGGGTAAGAGCGGAGGGCAGAAGGATAGCTCAGTGCGGTTTGCCCACAGTGCTGATGGCCGCTATGGCGGCCTCGCCACGTGACCCCGACGGGCGGAAGCGGAAGTGCGGCCTGGAGCTTGCGCCAAGCGGGTGTTTTCTCGGCGCCTCTAGCCGTCAGCTGTAGCCGACATGGACTGTTACACTGCGAATTGGAATCCACTCGGGGACTCTGCCTTTTACCGGTGAGCCGCCCGCCGCCTCACCTTCTCGCCCATCGCCTAGCTTACCGTGCTTGTTTGCCGGCTTGAGCCTCCCCCGCCGGAGCCAGCGGCGCTCGCCCCCCTGCGTCACTAGGGGTGCTGGCGCCCGCCCCTCGGGCGGCTCGCCCCAGCGTCTGCCACTTTATGCACGGTTGCCTAGGGGCAGCAATCTTTCCTTCCTCTGCTCCAACGGAGGCAAGCTCAGAAGGCACCCCAATACCGAGGTCTGTCGGTCTCCGGAAGGATGCTCAGATCACATTGAGGAAGGCCACCCGTGGCGACAGCGAGTGCCAGTCTCCTTCCGGAAACTGCTGCTGAAGTCAGACCACAGGGGCTCTCAGAGGAGGGCGGGATCGCCACAGCGGGCGGGGTGACAGTACTGACCAAAGCTGAGAGAAGGGGGTGAATAGCCATTCAGCTTTGGGGCACTGTTAATGAAGAACCCTAGGCACTGGCAACTCACTGAAGTTGGAGAGCCCTGAGCAGTGGGTCTTTCTCAAGTCTAAACTAGTAATATGATTGCAGTGGTTAGCGTCTCGCTGATTTACTTTCTTCAGAGAAAGTGCAAACTGCTTGTGGAACACACATCAATTGGCCAGCCTATATTTTGTCTCCTTGAGCGGCTTCCGATTTGATCTCAGCCATCTAATCGTGTTCCAGCCGCACAGAATTGCAGGCTCATCGCGTCACGCAATTTCATGGCTTTCTGTGTTTTCATAGCCCTACCGTCTCTTTTGTGGGCATTGTAATTTACCTCTTTATCACACTGAAGAATTATTGCTCATCTTTCAGGACCTCCCTGGTCTTCTTACAGTAGAATTTTTTGTTCCTTTCAGGGTTCGGTTGTAAAGTCTTATTATAGGTGGCAAATGAAGGCAATATTTGTATAGGTTTCTTCTGCTGAGCTCCTCGAAGGCTAAGAATGTCTCTTTTACTTCCCGTGCATATTTAGACCAGTGCCTGTTACCTAATAGTTGTCCAGCCTGTGGTGTCCCATGCCTCTAATTCCAGCACTTAGAGACAGAGGCCGGCTCCTCTCTGTGAGATCCAGGCCAGCCTGGTCTACATAGTCAGTTCAGGCCAGGAAGGGCAACATAGTAAGACACTGTCTCAAAACAACAACACAGAAACAAACAAAAGCTAATAGTTGCCCAACTAGTTGCAACATCGCAAAGAATGTTTCATTGATGCACCTGTAGATCACAAAGACATTGCATTGGTGTCTTATTTCAATAGAAGACATTGCTTCCGCTAGTGAAACTGTTTACCATTCTCATAGCCAAACTTTTAAATGAGATTTTGTTGTTCACAATGTGATGCACTTCCTAGACAAAGGATGCCTTGTGATAATTTTTGGAGATACGTTGCATTTGTTTATTCATAATTCCTCTTAGACACGTGTACAATATGAAAAATAAAAAAAATGAAAAACTTAGTTGAAATCAACAGGAACTATTAATGATTTCACCTGAAAATACTACTGGACAGGAGGATCATGATTAGTAACTGATCAGTTTATACTTTATCTTAGAAAGAAACAGTATGTACTTTATTTTAGAAAGTCAACGAGACACTAACCACTGTAATCACATTACTATATACACTATATATGTATACAGCCAATCCAGCTTTGGCTATGTACATACATTGGAGGCCAGCCTAGGCAAGATGAGACTCTGTCCCAAAATACATATTTAAAATAAAAAATAATAAAAATAAAATATTAACTATTATTTTTAAAGTACTTTTAAATCAGAGCATAGAAGACAATGACCTCATTACAACAGAGATCCTGCTGTCTATTGTATGAAATCTTAGCTTCATGGATGCATAAAATTTCAAAAGATAGGAGTGTGAGCGTGTGTCGTAGAAGTGACTAATTTCCCATTACCTGTGTTGAACTCATAGAAATGATTAGACGTGTTAACCCTGCTGGAGATTATATATATGTCCTGAGTTGCTAACAAATAAGACTTTCTTAAACTGGACACTATGCTAAGCACTTTATGTGTAGTTTCTTAAGTATCCCACCACATGGAATCAGGATCATGATTTGCTCCAACTTACTGATGAGGAAGCTGAGGGACAGAGTGTCCAGGTTAAGTAATTAAGTGGTTCTGTAAGTGGTAGCACATACCTTTAATCCTAGCAGAGGCAAATGGATCTCTGAGTTTGAGGCTAGCCTAGTCTACAGAGTGAGTGAGTTCCAGGGCAGCCAGAGCTACACAGAGAAACCCTGTCTTGAAAAACCTCCCTTCCTTTACCCCCCACAAAAAAACAATAGGATGTGGTAGACTCTATATGCCAAAACATAGAATTGTTTATTTTATATTTAGAGTCTGTGTGTGTGTGTGTGTGTGTGTGTGTGTGTGTGTGTGTGTGTATGTGTGTGTGTGCCATGGCACATGTGTGGACGTCAGGGACACCTTGTAGGAGGAATTGGTTCTCCCCTTCCCACCACATGGGATCTGGGGATTGAACGCAGGTCATCAGGCTGGTCACAAGTGCCTTCACAAAGCTGAGCCCTCTTGGCCCAAAATTTTTTTAAGACAGGAAAATGCAAAAGCATTTTCTAGTTTATTCACCAGTGTGGAAGTGTTTTAAGAATAGGTGCTTGGTTTCATTCATCTCCTCGTCTAGGACTTAGTCTGTGATTCTGAATAGTGGATAAATGGTACAGGTAGACTCTTTTCACTTGAGTCTCATCTGTAGGGCAGGAGTCTTTGCATTGGATTGATTTTCTCAAGAACTTGCTGGATTTGAAAAGGTGAGGAGAGGAAGTGGTGACCATCTCTTACCGGGTTCTAGAGATTTAGCCCTTTTAATCCTAAAACTGCAACTTGAGCTGATTCCATTCATTAGTTTGATCCTACCTTTGCCAGACTCTGTATGTGTCGGTAAGTGAGACAGACATAGAGTGCCTTTGACGTTCATAAGGCTTACAGCCAGCACATGACATGGAGGATAAGGACTCAACCTTTGATCATGGTTACTACGGGGAATACTGAACTTGGGGGTGAGAGGAAGCAAGGAACCAAGGAGGACGTGGGTTCTCAGCTTAAAATCATGAAAAGGGAAAAGTGAATTTGGCAGAGAAGAGGATGGACTTGTTTTGTATGTGTGGGTGTCTGTTCGTGTTTGTGGTGTGTGTAGGTATACATGCTCTTGCAGAAGGGGGAGGGTTGGTGGTGCTCCTCAGGAGCCATTCACTCTGTTTTTGAAAACCAAGTCTCTCACTGGACCTAGGACTTGCTGATTAGGCTGGGCATTCCCCAGGGATCCACCTGTCTCCACCTTCCCAGCACCATAACCACAAGCATGCACTACCATGCCTGGATTTTTATGTGGGTGCTGGGGATCAAACTCAAGGTCTCCTGCTTGTGCGGCAAGCACTTTAGTGAATGAGTTAGCTGTCTCCCCAGCCCCTGAACTTGGTTTTGAACACATTGAGTTTCAGGCACTTTAGAAATAGTTTCATTTGTAAAAGGAAGAAAAGTGATGATACATTTTATATAACCCTGAATAATTTATTCTTATAGGGTTGTTTTCCTTTCTTTATTTTCTCCCTCTCTTGATACTGGATAGTCCTGTTATTTTTTAAAAGGGAAGGAGATTATTATTATTATTATTATTATTATTATTATTATTATTTAGATTTATTTATTTTATGTATGAGTGCTCTATCGGCATGTACGCCTGCATGCCAGAAGAGGGCATCTGATGCCATTATGAATGGTTGTGAGCCACCATGTGATTGGTGAGAATTGAACTCAGGACCTCTAAGAACAGCCAGTGCTCTTAACCACTGAGCCATCTCTCTAGCCCCAGGAGATTATTTTAGTATTGTAGTTGTAGTTGTATTTTAAATAAGCATAAATATTTATTTAAAGCATCGTTAAATATATATAACAAAATGTGTCATCTTAACTTTTTTGTGTGTTTTGCCTTGTTTTAGAGAAAATATCACTACTTACTTTTTTTTATCTTTTTGTACGTGAGTGTTTTGTCTAGATGTATGCCTGTGTACTTCATGTATGCATTACCCACAAAGACCAGAAAAAATCATGGGACCCCTTGGAACAGAATTTACAGATATTTGTAAGGCAACATGTGGGTGCTGGGAATTGAACCTGGATACTCTGGAAAAGCAGCCAGTGCTCTTAACCACTGAGCTGGCTTCCCAGCCCTCCTTGATTTTGTTTTTTGAGACAGGCTCTCACGTAGCCCAGGATAACCTTCTGCCTCTACCTACCAAGTGTTAGGGATATAGGCATGTGCCAGTGTACCTGGTTTATCTAGTACTGGGCGTTGAACCCAGGGCTTCATGCATGCTGGACAAAGCATTCTACCAACTGAGCTGCTTTCCCAGCCCTTTATCTGAACCATTGTTTAATTACTGTTCAATAGTGTTGAGTATATTTACTGTGGTGTACAGCCAATTTAATTTTTTTTCATCTAACAAACCTGAAATTCTATACCTATTAAATAGTAATTCCCCATTAAACAAGCACTCCCATTTCTCTGAATTTGACTATTCTAGGTAACTCATGCAAGTGATATCTATCATTTGTCTTTTTGTGACAGGATTATTTAACTTAATATTATAGTATTCCCAAGGTTAATGTTATAGTATGTGTCATAATTTCTTATTTTTTAAGGCTGAAAGATTTTTTTTTTGTATGTACATACTCCATTTTCCTTATCCATTCTGTCAGTAAGCAGCATGGGGTACAGATGGACACTCCCATTCAGACGACCACAGATTGTGTGAGCCAGTGCAAATCTTTCCTTCCTTTAGCTGTTTCTCTCAGGTATCTGTCACAGCAGCAAACAGTCTGACACTTGGTTGCTTCTTGTGGGTGTTAGAATATATGGCAATTGGTTCTGTGGCCCAGAGCTGACTTCTTAGCACTCTGTGTTGAGATATGAGCTCACTGATGAGATGCAGTGCTTTGAAGAATGCTACAGTGATGAATAAAGCATTCTATATGTCGAGATTCTGATTGCCCACAAATGCATTCATTATAGGCAAGAAAGGTGAGTCTACCCAGAATATATATCTGTTCCAATAAGAACTAATCTCTGCCTCTTCAGAGCCCAGTGTTATCATCTTGCAGGTTGAACCTTTGAAAATTGTGCCATATTGGGGACCTGCTTTAAACACTCAACACTCCGTTAGCTAGCTCAGCAACTTCCATCACATCTGCTGGAAATGAGATCGTGATAGGGTGTTCAGGTTGAGGGTAGCTTCTCCGAGAGATGACAGACAAGCTACTTTCACCAAGAAGAGAGGCTACACAATGGTCAATTTCATTCGGACCTAACTACATACCCCTATTTAGGTTTCGGTATCCCATTGTTTCCTGATCAGTACCCTAACTTCCACATAAGATATGACATGCTGATAGACTCAACTGTTGTAATTTAAAAACCCACAAAATTAAAATTGTGTTGATTTTCAGTGATAGCAACTATGTAAGCTCCAAGTGATCATCTTAGACCTGTCATAGGAGCTTTCTGCTTCTCAGGTCATGATTAGTTAGTAGTCCAAGCAAGGTGTGAACATACAAGAATGGAGATAAAGGGACAGTTGGGAGCCCTGGAACCCAGCATCTATAAGGCAAGCCACACCCAAAGACTGGATGTATAGCGTGTAAAGGCTAGAAACATACTAGTATGCAAAATATGTATATAGCCAGATAAGAAGGTGTACAGACAAGTGGGTAGTCTGATATGAACAGAAAGCTTAGAGTGTAGTGTCTGCAGAAGAGCCCTGAGAAAGTGATCAGGACCTAGGCAGGGTTTTCCGGATGTGGTCACATGACTGGAATTGAGCGCCACCACCAAGTCTCTTCATACCCCAAGGCTGGCAGCAACAGGAAAGCATCAAGTGCTTGTCCTGTGTGTTGTTTAGTGTTCTAGCGCCCTCTACTGAGAAAGCGTCACATTGGCCTTACTGAGAGACGGGCTTGAAGGAATAATGGTCATTATTGTAGAATGTAAGATTTTGGAACTGAACAGCTGTCAGTTTGTAACTGGCATGCTAAGTCTGAATTAAGATATGTTTTCCTGCTGGGCGGTGGTAGCACACGCCTTTAATCCCAGCACTTGAGAGGCAGAGCCAGGCAGATCTCTGTGAGTTCGAGGCCAGCCTGGTCTACAGAGTGAGCTCCAGGACAGGCACCAAAATTACACAGAGAAACCCTGTCTCAAAAAACAAAACAAACAAAAAAAGGGTATGTTTTCCTGTATTTTCATTCAGTGAATATAGTAACAAAATATCAAATGTATATGTATTGTAAAATTTAAAAATCTTCAAGCCACTATGTGACTCAGCACGAAGGAGATAGAAGCTGTGATTAAAAGTGTGCACTACTGTACCTGACTCTTTTTTAGTTTTATTTTTATTATTTCTAAAGCATGTCTGTGAGTGTGGGTACAGGCCCTCAGTGCGGAAGAGGGACTAGGTCCCCTGGAGCTAGAGTTACGGGTGATAGTAGTGGAACTCAGGTTCTCCGCGTGAGTAGTATGAGCTCTCAACCACGAGCCATCTCTCCAACCTCTCATCTGTTTTCATATTTCTATCTCAAAACAGCAATTCTGATTAACTTTAGTTTATATAGTATGTTTTAGATCTGATATATACATATACGTGTGTGTGTGTATTCTTATATTTTCAAATGCTCTTAAATACCTTCTACTATTTTCTGTTTCAAAGAGTCCCTTTTGCAACCATGAACTTTAGAGTCAATGTATGCATTTCTGTAAAGAAAATATTGGGAAGAATTTTTGTCAGAATAATTGTACATTTGTGGATCATCTTACAATATTTAACCATGTCTTCTGTATCCTTGAGGAAAATTTGGTATGATTTTATTGTGTTTTTCATGAGGTTTATTCTTAAATATCTTAAAATTTTTATTGCTATCATAAATAGAATATTTTGTTTATTTTTTGATATTTACTTTATTAAAGACAAGATCTATGTATCCTGGCCAATCTGGAACTCACTATATAGGCCAGACTGGCCTCAAACACAGATCCTCTTGCCTCTGCCTCTGCCCCTCTGTCCTTTTGCCCCTCTGTCCCTCTTCCCTCTGCCCCTCTGTCCCTCTTCCCTCTGCCCCTCTGCCCCTCTTCCCCCTGCCCCTCTGCCCCCGCCCTCTTCCCCCTGCCCCTCTACCTCTGCCTCTGTTTCTGCTGAGTTCTGGAATTAAGGACATGAGCCACCATTGCTGGCATAACTAGAATCTTTTAAAAGTTAATTTTATAAGTCAAGTGTGGTGAATGCATGTTTTATTCCTAGCACTTGGCAAATGAAGAAGCAAATAGCTATGAATTCTAGGCTAGCCTGGCCTACATAGCAAGAGCCAGGGCAGCCTGTAAGCCCATGTCTCAAAAAGCAAAAACAAAAACAAGTTGAGTGTTTTCTCAATCATTTTCATTCTTCATTCATTCTCTCGTCCTTTCTCACCCCCCTCCACTTCCCTCCTTTTCTCTCATTCTACACCAGTCTTACTGTGAATGGAAAATTTCTTGCCATAGAAAATGGGCTGACGTTTGTTGCTGAGTTCTCTTACTGTCCTTACTGCTTTGCTGAGTGTCCCTCATTTAAACTGAAATAAGTATTTCATATTTCAGAGTTCTTTGTAATTTAGACTATTTGTGTAGACTTAGCCAGTTTATCATCTAATTTGAAACTCCAAAATCTAAAATGTTCCAAAATCTGAAACAACACTCAAGAAAATAAAGATTTCAAAGTATATTAGTCAGGGTTCTCTCTAGAGAAACAGAACTTATAGAATAAATCCATAGATAGCTATAGATGGATCCATATATATATATATATATATATATATATATATATACACACACATATAAATAGATGAATGGATAGATATAGAATATATATAATATATTATGAATATATTTAATGTTTACCTGTTATAATATATTTATATTATATTATGTATTATATGTATTATAATATGTATTATACATTAAAATATATAATATGAGGGATTTATTAGAATGGCTTACGGGGTCCAGTTAATTCAACAATAGCTGCATATGAACTGAAGGTCCAAGAATCCAGTAGTTGCTCAGTCCATAAGGTGGGTGGTCTCAGCTGGTCTTCAGTAGATGATGGAATCCCAAAGTAGGCTCTAATGTGATATAGAAATGTATTATATAGAAATGATAGGATAAAAGGGTAGATTTGGCAAAGTTTACTAGGGTACACAATATATCATACAAGTGCCAAGGAAGGAGTGGACTTGCTAGCAAGAGGGTGCCAGCAGGCTAAGAGAGAGCTTCCTTCCTCCGTATCGTTTATATAGGCTGTTATCAGGTGAAGTCCAGATTAAGGTGGATCCTCCCACCTCAAAGATCCAGATTAGAAGTGGGTTTTCCCATTTCTAATGGTTTAATTAAGAAAAAAATCCCTTCCAAGTGTGCCTAGCCAATTGAGTTTTAGTTCATTCCACATGTAGTCAAGTTGACAAGCAAGAACAGCTATCACACAAAGCATTCCAAATTCTAAGATGATAGGGGCACAGTTTATAGTAACAATTTTGCTCTTTCTCCAAAATATAAGTCTAGGGTTTTTATGCTGGGAGGAGGCTGAAGTTCAGGTTTGGTCTAGAACTACTAGTGTTGCCCAAGTTGACCTTGAACTTGAAATAATACTTCTGCCATAGCCTCTCAAGCTCTAGGCTTCCAGGTGTGAGCCACTATGCCTGATTTAGTTTGTTTGCTTGTTGTTTTTTCCTTAAATTATTTTGGCTAGAGCCCCAAGAGGGCCATTCCCTCCCCTACCTCCAAGCATCCAGTGATAGCGTGTTTGGAGCGTCAGCTCCTTCTCATGCAGCATACATTCACACATGCATAGGGTTGCAGTCTTCCTGCCTGCCTGAGATTTTGTCATCTCATATAAGCCAGGATTCACAGGACTCCACCAGCCAGACTGTCTCTAGCCCTATCTCATTGAAGAGCTCATTTTGGGGTGTCTTTCAGGAACTGTCAACTCAGTGCTGCTAAAACTGGCTTCATCTCTAATCTAGTTTGACCCCTAGACATAAAGAGCACAATCTTATTCCTCATTGGAAGCAGAAATAGAAGCGGTCTCCTCTTCCATGAGGAGGCCTCTGAAAGTCTCCCTTTCCCACTGTTTCCAGCCAGAGCCCGCACCCTACCTTAGCACCGTTCCAGTGTCTTGTACATGACCTGCACATCGCAGTTGCTCCTACCAATATTGGATATTTGCCTCAAAAGCTACAGCCTTCCTTGCCAATATGCTATGCTATCTCAACCTGTGGTTCAGAGGCCTCTGTAATTTGGTCAGTTTCTAGTCCTCCTCCTCCTCTCTGCCTCTTGGGTGTGTGTAGGAGGACTCTCCTCCACTACCAACCTGCAGAGGAAAATGGTAATTTCCGGCATTTCTCTGGGCCTCATTCTATCTAGATACAGGATCATGGGGAAGCTAATCTGTTTATCTCCGTGGGCAGGAAATATGAACTGTACAGCATGGACTGGGACCTGAAGGAGGAACTCAAGGATTGTTTGGTGGCTGCTGCACCCTATGGGGGTCCGATTGGTATGCACCCCTCTATTTCTACTATGTGTTGTTGGGCCCCAGGGTTGTTCTCTGCCAATCCACCTTGCTAAAATGCTTCTAATTTGGGTCCTCATGAGAAATCATCACCTGTAGATTTCTTAACCTCATGGTCCCTCGATTGCCATGGGGTGGCATGAGGAACTACTCCAGGAGGCTTACCTCATATGGGGCCTGAGGATCTAGGACAGAAGTCCCTTCTCAAAATGCAGCTCTCCTGAGGAACTGTTGGAGAAAAGAGAAGACTGCCAGCGTGCGGCCAGTACTGGAGATCTACTCTGCTTCTGGCATGCCACTGGCCAGCCTGCTGGTAAGCATGGGGCCTATCCCTACCACGTGATGGGCAAGGCTGGCTGACTCCAAGAAAAGCCAAAGGAACCTCTCTCTGCAGTGGAAGAGTGGGCCTGTGGTGGCCCTCGGCTGGTCAGCTGAGGAGGAGCTGCTCTGTGTGCAAGAAGACGGTGCAGTGCTAGTTTATGGGCTTCATGGAGACTTCCGGAGGCACTTCAGCATGGGCAATGTAAGGGCCACAGGAGCCTGAGGAGGGAAGAGCCTCATCACCTGTAGATTTCTTTTTTTTTTTTTCTTTTCTTTTTTTAAAGATTTACTTATTTATTATGTATACAGCATGTATGCCTGCAGGCCAGAAGAGGGCACCAGATCTCATTACAGATGGTTGTGAGCCAACATGTGGTTACTGGGAATTGAACTCAGGACCTCTGGAAGAGCAGTCAGTGCTCTTAACCTCTGAGCCATCTCTCCAGCCCCACCTGTAGATTTCTTAACCCATGGTCCCTTTTGCTAGGAGGTGCTTCAGAACCGAGTCCTGGACGCCCGGATCTTTCACACTGAGTTTGGTTCTGGGGTGGCCATCCTCACAGGGGCCTTTCGCTTCACCCTGAGTGCCAATGTGGGTGACCTCAAACTCCGTCGGATGCCAGAGGTGCCAGGTAAGCCCTGATACTTAAGAGAGCCCTTCAGTACCACAAATGTGCCTCCAGACTGGGACCAGAAGAGACAGACACTGTGGGCTCTGGTCATTCCAAAGTATCCTCTTCTCTGTCACAGGTCTGCAAAGTGCACCCTCATGTTGGACCACACTGTGCCACGACAGAGTAACGCACATTCTTCTGGCTGTAGGACCTGATCTTTACCTCTTGGATCATGCCACGTGCTCCACAGTGGTGAGAACCGAAGTGGGAATGAAATGGAAGAGCTGGCTAAGCAGTAGGAAGGCCTTGAGAAGTCAGTTTATCTGGTTTCCTCCTTGGCTCTGCCCCAGACACCTGCTGGTCTAGCCCCGGGAGTGAGCAGCTTCCTACAGATGGCTGTATCCTTCACGTATCGTTACCTGGCACTCTTCACAGACACGGGCTACATCTGGATGGGGACAGCGTCACTCAAGGTGTGGTTCTAAAACAACAAAGGGTAGTGTGCTCTGTCCAGGGGAGATCCGTTGTGAATAGGGTCATGGCTTTTCAACAGCAGGGTCACTGCTGGGACAGAGCCTTGACATGCTGTGCCATTTCAGGAGAAGCTGTGTGAGTTCAACTGCAACATCCGGGCACCCCCGAAGCAGATGGTCTGGTGAGGAGAGAGGCGTTCTTTAAAGCTGGGGTTAGAGCATAGCCTTGTTCCCTGGGATAACTTGAGTCATCCTGTCTTCTGTTCAGACTAAGTGGAGCTTAGGCATTCTCTTCTCTGCCCACCCTTAAAGGACCATTGTCCTCTGTGGGCCACTTGACTGGTAGTGCCAAAGCAAGAGGGGAAGCACATGGGTCACTATATAGCCAGAGAAATGGACTAAGGGACACAGTATGTTCAAGGCTGTCCCAAGGAAAAGGGGTGCAAGCAGTGATGTAGAAGACATGGCCATGGGCCCGATGTCCTGAATGTCCCAGATGTGTATCATGTTGTCCACAGGTGTAGTCGTCCTCGAAGCAAGGAAAGGGCCGTTGTGGTGGCCTGGGAGAGGCGGCTGATGGTGGTGGGCAATGCACCTGAAAGTATTCAGTATCCTTGGAACGCTTTCTGTGTGGGCTGGCGAGGGAGGGGAAAAGGGAGGTGCCCTGTCTTTGGATAGAAGCCTTGACGAAACTCAGGTTTGTGCTAGATGAGGACTCCTACTTAGTGCCTGAGCTTGATGGGGTCCGCATCTTCTCGCGCAGCACCCATGAATTCCTGCATGAAGTCCCAGGTGAGGCCCCCACAAGGGTACAGTGTTACCTAAGGCAGGTGCTCCTGACCACAGACTACCACACTGTCCTAAGACAATGGCCCCAAACAGGATCTAGGTATTAGGGGCAAGCTGAGAATTTTCATGCTTCTTTATCACTACTCAAAAACTCCTCCCCTAGTGGCCAGTGAAGAGATCTTCAAAATTGCCTCAATGGCCCCTGGAGCACTGCTGTTGGAGGCCCAGAAGGAGTATGAGGTAAGTTCTGGTCAACTTCTAAGACTCCCAAGATGCTCTCTCCCTTCCTCTTTTCCTGACTGGACCAGCCCTCTGCCCTTGCCTGAGCACCTATGATAAGCCAGGTGCCACCTGGCAGGGGAGGGGTTTAGGTAAGACTGGCTGGAGCTGACAAAGGCTAGCACATTTAAACTGGCTGGGCAGGGCAAGGCATCCCTACTGTACCCAGGCTCAAGTTAGTGCTACTATTAGGAAGTGTCAAGCACCCCCACCCCACTCCCACACAATAAACAGTTGTGGGCCCCTCCAGTAGACTGAGTGGATTGGGTCTGTTTGGCCTTTCTAAGTCATTGCCATTTGAACTATGTAGTCCCAAGAGGCTAGGCGCCACCGTGAGGTGTTCTCTGTGATGCTCCGTCTTTGGACCTCTCCCCACAGAAAGAGAGCCAGAAAGCAGATGAGTACCTACGGGAGATCCAGGAGCTGGGGCAGCTGATCCAGGCTGTGCAACAGTGCATTGAGGCTGCAGGACATGAGCACCAGCCAGACATGCAGAAGAGTCTGCTCAGGGTTGGCCTGGAGGCAGTTTTGGGGGAGGGTGGGCTGGGGATGGGGTGGGCTGGGCACTGAGGGAAGTTCTTTTCCATTGCCCTTTGGTTCTTCTCAGGCGGCTTCCTTTGGAAAGTGTTTCCTCGACAGGTTCCCACCTGACAGTTTCGTGCGCATGTGTCAGGACCTGCGAGTGCTCAATGCTATTAGGGACTACCACATTGGGATCCCTCTGACCTATAGCCAGTATCCTCCTGCATGTCATGAGGGTGTTTACAGCTGGGCATGGCAGGGGAAGGGGCAGGAGATGTGGTCTGCAGATCCCTGGCAAACAGGACTTACACCAATTGGATCCTTAACCAAGGAAAATTCAGATACAAGCAGCTCACCATCCAGGTGCTGCTGGACAGGTACAGAAGCTCAGGGGTGCTGTAGGAGGGCAAGAGTGGGTAGTATTACAGCCTTATGTGGGGTCTTGTGGGTACTACTCCTCACATGCCTTTTAGGACTAGGAGGACTCAGCCCTGTGTCCCTTCCCCCTTGTCTGCCAGACTTGTGTTGCGGAGGCTTTACCCTCTAGCTATCAAGATATGCGAGTACCTGCGCCTTCCTGAAGTACAGGGTGTCAGCAGGATCCTAGCCCACTGGGCCTGCTACAAGGCAAGGACATGGGATGTGAGGTAACCTTGGGCCCTGGAAACATAGAGGAAATACAGAGCATGGAAGTAAAGGGTGGGTTCTGACGGAGGTCCTGTGGGATTGGGCAGGTGAGGAATGACATCCAGACTTGTGTGACACCCACATACACACTTACAGGTGCAGCAGAAAGATGTCTCAGATGAGGATGTGGCACGGGCTATCAATCAGAAGCTGGGTGACACGCCTGGTGTGTCATATTCTGACATCGCTGCACGAGCCTATGGCTGTGGCCGCACTGAGCTAGCCATCAAGGTGTGATTGTGTTACCTTTCCCAGACACCCCAGGGTGAGTGGTCCAGGCCCTTATGCACGTGCCCCTCTTTGCTTTCTGGCCCACCCACCTCACAGCTGCTGGAGTATGAGCCACGCTCGGGGGAGCAGGTACCTCTTCTCCTAAAGATGAAGAGGAGCAAACTAGCACTGAGCAAGGCCATTGAGAGTGGAGACACTGACCTGGGTGAGCAGGGTGTGGGTGAGGACCAGGTGGCGGTGGGGTGAGAAGGTGAGTGAGCCCTATCGTGTGCAGAGCTGGGCTGGAGGCCCCACCTACTTTATCATCGCCAGTGTTCACAGTGCTGCTGCACCTAAAGAATGAACTAAATCGAGGAGACTTTTTCATGACGCTGCGGAACCAACCCATGGCCCTCAGTTTGTATCGACAGGTAGACGCGTGTGAAGGGGAGGGACGGGTTGGAGCTTTCTGAGCCCTTGAGTTGGCTTTCCTGACTAATCTTCTGCCCATGACCCAGTTCTGTAAGCATCAGGAGCTAGACACGCTGAAGGACCTCTACAATCAAGATGACAACCACCAGGAGCTGGGCAGCTTCCACATCCGGGCCAGCTATGCCGCTGAAGAGGTCGGAGGTCCAGAGGGAGGCCGGGGCCTTTGGATTAGTTTTTATTCAGTTCTTTCACCGAGACCTAGCTCTCTGCATTTGGTTACACCCTCTCTGGTCATAACTGTTGAGGAGTCTGAGAACACGAGGCAAGGATATGACACTGATTTCAAAGGAGCTAGCTAGCTTCTCGAGGACACCAGAGGAATGCCCCTAGTGGATAAGGCTGACTGTGGGCACAAGGGTGGAGAGAGGCAAAGCTAGTTAATACGTTGTCCTCTGCATACCTTTATCTGTGTAGCGAATTGAGGGGCGAGTAGCAGCTCTGCAGACGGCAGCTGATGCCTTCTACAAGGCCAAGAATGAATTTGCGGCCAAGGTTTGACTGCCTTTTCTAAGCTCCCTGTCATGCCTTCTTGGTCTTTCTCCCTTGGCCTTCATCCCCAACCTGCCTCATTCTGGTCTCCAGGCCACAGAGGATCAGATGAGGCTCCTGCGGTTACAGCGGCGTCTGGAAGATGAGCTGGGGGGACAGTTCCTAGACCTGTCTCTACATGACACAGTCACCACTCTTATCCTTGGAGGCCACAACAAGCGTGCAGAGCAGCTAGCACGTGATTTTCGCATCCCTGACAAAAGGTGGGTTAGGATCCCGGCTGTAGGTAGTCCTGGGACCTCTTGCCTTTCCTGCATACCTATGTTGAGCCCTGCTTCCCTGCAGGCTCTGGTGGCTAAAGCTGGCTGCCCTGGCAGATTTGGAAGATTGGGAGGAGCTGGAGAAGTTTTCCAAGAGCAAGAAATCACCGATTGGCTACCTGGTGAGCCAGGGATCCTCCTGAGAGTAGTCCTGGGAGGGGGCCAGGCATGGGAAATGGGGACGATGGTCCATTTGTGCACCCATTCCACTGTCCTGTGTTCTGAGCCAGTACTTCTTGTGCCTGTGTGAATGTGGGCAGACACATACTGTGTGGGAACTCTGGAGGACAGGCCCAAGCCTGCCTCCTACCTTGTGGTGGAAGGAGTTGCTTTACCCAGTAAAGACTACAGGGGGCACTATGTGCCTGAGGGCAGAAGGGGCAGGAAGGGCCATCTATGAGGCAGTGGAAGACATTGAGGAGGTGCTTGAGACATATTGAGGGCAAATTTGATAGTGGCAGCCTGAGAGAAAATACAAGGCCTGAGAAGACAGCAGGCAGAAACCCTACTTTGGTGGTGGGAGGGTGGAGGTGGTGGAGGAGGAGCATGAGGAGGACTCGGCTCAAGTCTCTAATAGGTCTTCGGTTTGGTTGTTTCTGTTATAAAAATGGTGAGCTCCATATTGTTTCGCACAGGTGGAAAGGAGACTCGAGACAATGACTGTGTATAAAATACCTATGGGCAGTGTGTCCTCTGGGCTTCTGCTCCTAAGAGAGAGGAAAGAGGGCTAGTCTTTGTCTCCTCTGTCTTGTGAAGCCCTTTGTAGAGATCTGCATGAAACAACATAACAAGTATGAGGCCAAGAAGTATGCTTCCCGGGTGGGCCCTGAGCAGAAGGTCAAGGCTTTGCTTCTTGTTGGGTGAGTCAGATGGAGACCTGTGTGTACGGTAGCTGAAGAGTGGGCTCATGCCCTGGAACAGCCCCAACATCCCCAACATCATCCCCCTTCTGCTCAAACCACAGGGACGTGGCTCAGGCTGCAGATGTGGCTATTGAGCACCGGAACGAAACGGAGCTGAGCCTCGTTTTGTCCCACTGCACTGGAGCTACAGATGGGGCCACAGCGGACAAGATTCAGCGGGCCAGAGCACAAGTCCAGAAGAAGTGAAGTGCCTGCCCGTGGGGGGCTAGTTACAAGCCAGAGATGTCCAGATGTAAATAAATTTGGAACGCTAATTGAGAATAGTTGTTGTATGCCGTCTAGCCTAAGATTAGCAGGCTTGAGGCAGAACCATCTAGCCTCTGCAACAGAACTCCACATATTTGATTATATTGAGGCTGTGAATAGGAACTTATAAGAGAGACCTATTTATTCACGTGGTTGCTCTCTCAGAAGCTGTCTCTAGCCTGGAGGAAGGTATCAAGAGAGATGGCATAAAATTCAAGCACCAATCCAGCAAGACCCACACCAAAAAGATTACATGTGTGTGTTCTCACAAGAACCATACTATATACTTTGCCATTATTTCATTCATTCCTCATGACAGTTCTGAGATGTATAACATCCTTCTCTTTGTAGAAAAGAAAACTGAAAACCAGAGATTGGTGAAAACAGATATGTTATAAAAGAAAGATTTGGGCTGGCAAGATGGCTCAGCAGCTAAAGGCTCTTGCTGCCAATTCTGGCAACTTGAGTTTAAACCCCTGTCCTCTGACCTTTACCCACATACACACACACACACACACACACACACACACACACACACATACACACACTGAATGAATGGGTGGATGAGTGAATGAGTGAGTGAGTAAGACTAACTAGAAGTAAATGAGGATTTGAAACTAGGTTTGACTCTAGGCTGGAACTGAAGTCAGGCCTTCTGATCTGGGAAGACAGAGGCAAGGCCCCTACATTGCCCTGCGGTAAAGATTGGAGAATGTATGGGAAGCCCATGACCATCCCATTGTTAGGGTTGGAGGAAACATCTTTGAGACCCTTGGCTGTTGAACAGGAAGTAATGAGCAGTTGTTGGGTGGTTTCAGAGCTTGGAAAAATAGGGATGGAAGATCGTCTCAGGTCTGTCCAAGAGCAATTGCTGTGAACTGGACCCCCTAATCCCATCCTACTTCCGTGAGTCCTTCACCTCCAGTCAGCAAGAGGGCTTTGGCTTTCTGCCTTCTGATGCAGCCCCCAGACAATACTCCAGTGTACTACAGCATTCCCATCTGTCAATGTCAAAATCCTATCCTCCATGCCCCCCCAAACACACACACACACACACACACACACACACACACACACACACTTGTTAGCAGAAAGAAACCAAAGCCTAAAGGAAAGGACCGCACTAGAGCTTCCCACATTTCCCTCTCTGCCACTCCTTGTCCTAACTATGCTTTTAAAAGGCAAGAGAAGCTAGGCATGGTGGCGTACACCTGTAATCCCAATACTTGGAAAGCTGCAGTAGGGAGACTGCTGTGAGTTCAAGACAAGCATAGGCTATACATGACAAGACCCTGTCTCCAAAAACAACTACCACAACAAACAGATGTGGTGGTGCAAGACTGAAATCCCAGTGTTTAGGAGGCAGAGGTAGGATGACTTCTACCAGCCTGGGCTGTATAACAAGTTCCAAACCAGCTAGAACTACATATCAAGACCTGTCTCAAAAAAACAGGAAAGAGATTCTGGGCTTGGTAAGGTGTCGCTTCCTTTATTCCCATCTAATTTGTAAATGCAAGTTTGTGAAAAATCCTCCAAGAAAATATATTTCAGTATAAAACAACTACTTACTCTGACAGCGTTTATTGTGTGGGTCTGAGAATGCGGGCAGGATCCAGCAGTGCTGCTTTATACCTTGCTCATGGGTCTGGAGAGCAGCTGAAAGCTCAGAGGCTGAGGGTGACTCGATATCTGGGGACTGAAATCACCTGGAGGCTTGTTCATTTTTGTGTCTGGTTGTGGACCAGATCTTCTGCAGGCTGGTGCACCTCACACCCAAGGGCAAGTGTTCTCTGTGGTAGCCAGATGGAATCTCTGTTGCCTTTCTCTGTCTAGCACTGAAGTTCGACATGTCCCCCCACATTCTGTCAAAGCGGTCTTCTAAACCTACCTCACCTAGCTCAACATGAAATAGTCTCACCTCTTGATAGGGGAGCACAAGGTTCTGGGAAGATTGTGGTCTGTTTGAGGAGTCAGTTTGACTTAATCTCCTCTTTGGAAGGAAAAGGACCTCTAGTACTGGACACGTTTCCTCCCCAGTCAGCCTCACAGACAACTACTCAAGTTGTCTCTTTGATGTCCTTTGGAAGCTTGCTGCTGACATTTGAGTTCTTAGTGAAAAGCGGTTCTTTCTGGAAAGGAAGACTTGGCCAGTGCTTTTAGAGTATATGTGATAAATCCATACTCCCAAAGTAACATGCAAACAGTAAACACTACACCTGAAATCATAGAAATATATGAGAAATTACAACGGCATATGGATACAGTGACTATAACTACATGAAAAAAGTACATGTATAAAGCACCGGACTTGTCCATAGGGAGAGTTATTAAAGATTAAAAGCAGAGGACTTTTAATATATGTAGCACATACTAGCCAGCCCAATTGATGCCTAGTCATCCTGACACACAAACATCACTGTAAAGCCATAACCTTTCCTTTCTTGTTCATCCCCAAGATCACACATTAATACCTACATTACAATATGAACATTCCAAATTTTAAAAGTCCCACAGTCTTTAAAAATCCAAACACTTAAAAATTAAGTCTCTTTAAAATACCCAGTCACTTAAAAAAAAAGAATCTTTGTAAAATTCCAAAAATCTCTTAAGTTCAAAGTCTCTCAGCTGTGGGCTTATGTAAAATCAACAATAAATTGAAGACTTTCTGGCTTCAAGAGGGAAGAACCAGGGCATAGTCATAATCTGAACAAAGCAAAACCTAATGCTAACAGTGTAAATAGTTCAACATCAGTGATCTGGACTTCTCCAGAGGACTTGGGTCACTTCTCTGGCTGTGCCCTCTGCAGCACACATAGCTTGTCTTCCAGGTTCTGCTGGTTCCACTCTACTATTGCAGTTCTTTGTGGTGATCTCATGATGCTGGCATCTCCAAAGCACTGGAGTCTTTTGCTGCAGCTGGGCTGCACTTTCACCAATAGCCTCTCCTGGACTCTTCAGAGACTCCAGCGCTGCCACATGGTGACAAGCCTCAGATCTCCATGACCCCTCCATTCCTTCAAAACCAGGTCTAACTGAGTGACTCTTACACTATCAAGTTTGGCTGCCAACAGGAGATACAACCTTGTGGAACACTTCGGGAATATACCTGTGTATTGACCCTGAGGAAACACTTGCCAGAAGATTCACATCAGTGATGCTGTTTTTTCCTAGTCACAGCTTATCCTTCAGCCCCAGCTCACCAGCACCATTGCTGCAACAAACTGAAGATTTTTCTTTAGTGTTTCTGACCTCTTGTTAATCACAGCCAATTGGTTTGTTCGTTTGTTTTTCGAGATGGTTTCTCCATGTGGTTTTGGTGTCTGTCCTGGATCTCGCTTTGTAGACCAGGCTGGCCTCAAACTCACAGAGATCCACCTGCCTCTGCCTCCCGAGTGCTGGGATTAAAGGCGGGCAGCACTGCCGCCCTGCAATCACAGCCAATTTTTCTGCTCTAGCTAACCAGACACCACAGAATCGTCACACAAATGGCCCAGTAGTCTTCGCTTTCCTCTGAAATTTAACAAGCCAGGTCTCCATTGTCTGCACTGCTCTCAACATTTTTATCTTCCAAGATCCTACAGAACAGCTCACTGAGCTCTCAGCACTCAAAGGCTTTTCTAGTGCAGAGTTCCAAAGTTCTTCCACAATCCTCCCAAAATGGTCAGGTCTGTCACAACAATACCCTACAATCCTGGTACTTCTGGTATTTCTGTCTTACTTAGAGTTCCTATTGCTGTGATGAAACACCATGAGCAAAAGCAACTTGGGGAGGAAATGGTTTATTTAGCTTATTCTTCCATATCACTGTTCATCACAGAAGGAAGTCAGGACAGGAACTCAAACAAGGCAGGAACCTGGAGGCAGGAACTGTTGCAGAGGCCATGGGAGAATGCTGCTTACTGGCTTGCTCAGCCTGCTTTCTTATAGAACTTAGGACCACCAGCCCAGGGATGGCACCACCGCAATGGGCTGTGCTCTCTGCTATCAATCACTAGTTAAGAAAATGCCCTACAACCAGATCTTATGGAGGCATTTTCTCTTTTCATCCCTTCAGATGACTAGCTTATGTCAAGTTGACATTAAACTAGCCAGCACATAGACTACAGAGTATTTACATATATTTTCCATTCAAGCAAAATCTACATACAATGAAATGCACAGATTTTTTTATTTTTACTTAAAAAAAACATTTTTTCATACACTATATTTTGATCATATTTCCCCTTACCAGCTCCTCCCAGATTATCCCCACCTGCCTACACATCCAACTTCAGGTTCTTTCCCCTTTTCTCCCTTAAAACCAACAAAAGCAAAAAAGGAAAATCAAGACAAACTAAAAAAGAGAAAAAGAAAACACCAGTAAGACAGAAAATACCAAACCAAACAAAAAGTGCACACAAAAAACAAAAAGTGCACACACAAACAAAAAGTGCACACACACACACAAAGTGCACACACACAGTGCACACACACAAACAATAAGTGCACACACACACACAAACAAACATGGAGTCAGTTTTGTGTTGGCCACCTACTCCTGGCCATGGGGTCAGCCCTGGAGTGTGACACTCCATTTGAGAGAACTGAGTTTCCCTTTCCCGGCAGGAATCAATTGCAAATCGCTTCTTGGTTAGAGGTGAGACTGTGTCTAATTACCCTTCTCAGGAAATGCAGAGATCCCGAAGTGCACATTTACTGAGTTTTCACAAGTAAATACACTCACAAGTGCTCATATCTAAAAACTAGGACTGTGGTTCTTGGGAGCTAACTCAAAGGTAGAATGCTTGCCAAGCACGTGTGGGTCCCCAAGTTCTTCATCCCTAGTACTGCAAAATGGAAGTCAAAAGTAGAACTTTTTTCTTTCAAGTTTTTATTTGCTCAACTGAAACTAGTATAAAATATCTTCTGCCTTGAGAATTGAACAAGCACGCCTGTGTCTGTGGTCTTGGATGGGATCAAGTCTTATCTAATGGGTTGAGCAAGTATTCAGGCTTGGAACCAAGTACAGAAACACTTCTAGATTAAGTTTGATGGTGGCTGTAGAGTGTGTTAGGACAGAGAGCCTGTATGGTCTGTCTTGTTACAAAACTTTAGCAAATGACCCCCAAGAGATGAACAGTGGCCTGAAAGGCACTTGGTTTTATTTATTTCAACTTTCATCTTTCCTGGCTTCATTTTCATTTTAGCACTTTAGTAAATATTCTTATTAATTTGTTTAGTATCCATTTACACCCCAGAATGTAATCTCCTGAGAGCTGAGATCTCCTCTGACTTGTTCTCTGTGGCGTCAAGTACATGGTCTGCTTTCAGAACTATTGAGCGAATAACTCATTGTTTCATTTGCTAGACAGAAAGGTGGGCTGGAGAGGGGAAGTGACTTCTGTAAGGAAACGGGCCTCCTTAATCCTGTCCTCCAGCCCTGCTACTGCAGTCCTTACCTATGGGTGCCAATGCGTGTGGAGCAGGGGGACTCCAACTTATCATCTGGGTTCTTTTTTTTTTTTTCTCCCAAGACAGCTCTTGGTTTTGCCAGTGGGGTAGGGGGCTCTGAAAAGGACCAGGAGTCAAGTAGGACAAGAGCCGGGCCAGTTTCACCAGGAAGGCAGCTAAGAATGAGACTCTGTCCTTATGAAAACTCCGTGTAGTTGTCTACACTGAGCCTTCCTTCCCAGGGTCTCTAGGGTGGGTCACTTAAGAACCTTGGTCTGAAGTTCTGTGTCACCCCTACACAAATACCACACTGCTTGAATATTATATAGAGAAGAGAAACTTGCAGTTTTCTGAGAATGGGTTACTTTACCTAGCTGCAAGTACCTGGAAGGTTCCAGGAAGAGTCAGGTAAGCTCAGATCATCCACCACGGGCCAGACCTAGAAACCTAGAGCTCTGACTTCCACACCTCACCGCAGGTTTTCCCAAATGTAGTCAAATTTGGCAGTGCCTGTCACGTGAGCTCATGGAGAACCACTTATTCTATTTATTTTAATTACATTACCAAATATTAGCATGGCAAATTCTTTTATGATACCGTAAGTTCAAATAAAAATAGAAATAATCAGTGTGGGTTAGCTGTAGATAAGGAAAAACTTGGCTGATAGGGTTTGCTCTAAGACTGCTCTCTTAGCTAGCCGAGAACTAAGCTAGCACTTAGTGTTTTTCAGATTTTTTTTGTTTTGTGTTGGTTTTGTTTTTTCATGCATTGAGTTCTAGTGTAAGGCCAGAGCTTTGATTCAGTCACTTTTCAATTTGCTGTGTATTTGCATCCCTGATAGACTTTGTACTTCCCAGGAAAACAGCTTCTTGGACATGTAGGAGGAGCAGTCCTCATTGGCTGGAATCTGACTTTTAGGAGACTGGATAGAAGTCTTGGGTAGGCTGTCTCTGGGATGGCCTCGCTGAGGGAGAGCCAGAGTCACAAACAAATCTTTGTCAAGGAGGAGTTTTACTACCCAGAGGGAGGAAGTTTAAAGAAGGCTTATTTCAACGCAAAATCCCAGGCCCTGGCTCTGGTCAGTACACACTTATTCCACAAATATAGAAGGGTGTGCATAGAGTTCTAACT